TGAGTACTTTCGCTTCCGTATCTTCTTCTTTGCACGTGGCACCACCGAAAATATCACTCAGGATAATTTTTTTTTGGATTGAAGGAAAATTTAACGACTGCAATTTTTTATCTACATTTGCTTGGGCATGCTCTTTGCCCAAAAGGTAAATGGTCTTTCCACTCGTTTCCTTAAGAATCCCGCTAGAAAGTGCTTCGTCTTCATCTGTACCAAAAGCAAGGATGTTGGCAAGAGCCGGATTCCCTCTTTTCACTGCTTGCCAAAAATATGCGAAATCCTGCGCTGATTGATTTCGATGGATCAGAAATGGTCCTGGAAACCAGGGATTCCTTAAACTCTCTCTTCCAATTACTGACATCTGCTTGTAGGTCGTTTGTGTCACGAGATGATTTGCAATGTTTAATGTAGTGTCACAAGCCAAAGGCGTAGTAAACCTGGGATTTGCTGATGAATGCTTGATTCTTGTCAAGCAAATCTGGGTCCATTTCGTCAGCAGTGGTCTTTGCTCAAGGAGTTTAAGGATAACTTCCTGAATTTGATCGATACTAGATCTGGTTTTTGTTTCCCCATACAAATAACGGTAATTATACAGCTGCTTGGTATCCCGAATAGTGGTTGACTGTAATGGAGAATCAAGTTAATTCAGATACTTCGATTTTTCGTCTTCAATAACCCTTGGGGCACGAACATCTGTATGAACCGTTTCTTTCACTTCTTGTTGAGAGAGTGCTCTCTTGAAATAAAGGATTTGGCGTGCGGACGTGTTGTATTTCCATGCGCTGTTGCGACTACGAGGACGGCATTCCCGGTGTTAAAATAGTAATGCAATAATCGTGGAACATTTCAAAGTATATGACTTCAAATTCTTTAGACGACTATAAGATTAATTTATTCTGCTATTAGCATAATAAATATGACATATCTTGTAAATTCCGTCTGATACATTTTCATCGTATTCTTATGCGTTGCTCTTTTTCTAACTACAGCGTACAAGAGCTCCTTGCCTACGATCTGCCGAACCCAATTTCGAGCATCGCGGACGTCGCAGGTACCACCAACGATAATGCCATTGTCGTCTTTGTTCACCGAGACCTCTGTCCGTAACCTTAACTTCATAAAACCTAGTTTGCTATTTTTCTCATAGTACCCAAGCCAAGTGTTTCATAAGTTTCGATATCAAACGGATGCTTTACTTTTGCAAGTTTTTGGCCGACAACGAAGGTTGAGGTTGTAGAAATGCTTGTTGGCTTGATTTCTGCCTTTCGGTCTGCAGGAATATCCTTTTTTAAACAGATCTGGAATATTTTTTTATGTCAGGGCTGGAATGACTGTAAATTGGAAGCCTTTTATCACCCCTGTAATGGACAAGATTAGGCAAATCAATGTCAAATGAGTAAGACGTATTATCATTTTCACTGGTCTCATGAGTTGACTGATTCGGGATCACTGGAAAATGTGATAATTTTCTTCGCTGTTTCCTCTTTTTATTGTTGGAAAAAAGATTTCATCGTCCTCCGTGAGATCCACAGTTTAGTTCTCTCGCGCTTTTTTCTTCTTTTCGTCGTTTCCCGATAAATTAGTTTTTTTTTTGGACATCTAGAAAAGCGGGTCATTTTTGTTATGTAAGTGCTCTTGTTTCTGCTTTTTTCTAGTCAGATGCCTTAAAACAGTTACGCATGCAGTTAAATATTAGTTTTGGATTTTCATCTTGATTACTGATGATTGACATTCTTGCATGACCCTTACCATGACCAAATTAGTTGGTAGATAATAATACCTTGTCACTTGAAGTACACTAGCTCACCGGCTGATAATATTTTCATATTGTGTTCAACTCCATTCAATAATTGTTACGTATTATGCTAGCCTCATCGAGTAATTGTATAAAGTATTATAGGAAAAATTAAACCTTGAAATAACCTATTGGAATAAACTGTCCAAAATTAAAGGCGTGTGCATGTGAATCTAGAATTCTCCATTACAATTTACATAAACAACGTGTCATATATTAAGGTAATGTTTCGCGAATATTTCACTCAATTTAAAATAAAACATTTGCTAAAAAAGGATTTGGTGAGATCCTGAGGGGAATTCCCCTGTCTCCCGGTTCTCCCATTCCACTGTTCCCTGTTCCCCGGAAAAAGTCTTGTGCAGCCCTACTTCGATTACTGCTCGCCCCTGTGGGATACTTGTGGCAATCTGCTCAGAGATTTCAATTTAGTTGCAAAGAGTTCAGTTTCGTGCAGCGAGGGTTTTAACAGTGCAAATTATGAACCTCTTGAAACTAGACGGTCTGGTGCTAAGTCAGTATTAATGTACAAGATACTTAATAACCATACTGCGCCCGCTCTTCGGGAGTCTTTCGTGAGAAGAGAAATAGGATCCCAAGGCCGAATCGAGAATACCTTAAAAAAGTTTCAAATATAGCCGCGCTATGCTTTGGAATCGGCTCACAAACGAAGCAAAATCAGCTGAGTCGCTCGTTAGTTTAAATCAATTGTTGTTGCACACTGAAATGCATCCTAGTTACCTGTGTGTGAAACCTATACTGTATTCTTATTACTGTCTTAATAATTAAACACGCCCCTCGTGGAAACCAGCCTAGAGTTGATGGGGCTGGCATGTTTCTTGCGATTTCCACGTTTTCATGCGATTTCCACTTCTGTTCGTGAGCTTTCGTTCGTGTTCATAATTTTTTGATTCCTGTTCACTCGTGTTCGTGATCTTTGGTTCGTGTTCATGATTTTTTGACTCGTGTTCATTCGTGTTCATAATTTTTTTATTCGTGTTCACTCGTGTTCGTGATCTTTGGTTCGTGTTCATGATTTTTTGACCCGTGTTCACTCGTGTTCATTCGTGTTGATGATTTTTTAACTGGTGTTCACAAGCGTTCATATTTCTTGAGTCGTATTCTGACTCGTGTCCACTGGTGTTCATTCGTGTTCACTCGCGTTCTGACTCGTGTGTTGTTTTTGAACAGATCATGGCAAGAATCGAACCTACGCTTTTGCGATGCCGGTGAAATGCCCTTGCCATTGAGAACGTATATTTGACTCATTTTTCCATCCACTGTTCCTGGCTGAATTTGAGGTGTGTATAATACCACTCGAAATTAAGACCTTTTAACCTATTTGATTCTTGATAATACAATCGCGTTCTTTCAACAGCTCCGTTTTAACCGTGTACTTAAGGGTAGACGGCTTGGTAAAGGAGACAATAAAACCTGACACGAGTGGATCATTTTGGTATGACCAAAGCTGGTTCAGGATACTTAGAACATATCATCGTCGTCGTCATCATCATCTCTGCCTTTGTTTTCCTTCACATGTTCACATCGTTTAAAAACTTCTTAATAAGAAACTTTAGCTTCTCAACGGCACCTTCTATTCCTTCTTCTTGGTCAAAATCATCATTTGTAATAAACATATTTTCTTATGTACCGGATCTTTCTTCAGTTGTCTCATCCACAAATGGCGCTTTAAATAGATATTTTCTAATTCTTCCTGCACAGCAAAATTGGAAATTCTTGCAAGAAAAATATTCTTGCAAAATTCTTGTTTTAAGTAAAACAATACTTAATTTGAGCAATACTATTCTTAGCAACAATTTAAAATTCTTGAAACAAGTAAGAATATTTCTGCCTAGAATTATTTCTCTTAAAATAAGACAAATAAATTCGAGACAAGAATTATATTCTCGCTAGAAATGTAACATTCTTGAAACAAGAATCAAGTAAATTTGGGGAGAATATAAAATTCTTAAAATACGAATATAACAAGAATAATATTCTCGCAAGAATTGCAACATTCTTGAAACAAGAATCAAGTAAATTTGGGGAGAATATAAAGTTCTTAAAATAAGAATACGACAGGAATAATATCCTTGAAACAAGAACAATGTTGGAACAAATTTATTCTCATTCTTAAATCTAGTAAATTAGTTCTACCTATTACTTAATTTTTATTAGAAGTGGCTCGATACAGTTTATTAAAAGTCAGACACTTAACATTTAAAGACGTTCAAACGTTATTAGGATAGCATTAAGGCATTTTGAAGATTTTAACTGAAAATGTTTTTTTTAGTTTATTTATGAACTAAAAATCACACTATTAATTGTTAGTAACAGATCAAATCACCCATGCTTACATCAGCTTATCCTGGAATTTTCTTCAGCTAATACTGTTGGGGAAAGTCACCCATTTCTTTTCATGTTTTTTTTACCTGAATTTTGTTATAACTATATGGAGCCAGCTTGAAAGGCAATTCAATTAAATATTTTTGTATTTCACCCGGAATGTTTGAAATAAAAATATCCATTTCAAATCTAAATTGTACTGTACACTTTGGCATTAATTGTCATCGCTGAAAACGTATCGTTTTCATAATATATGAGCTCAGTGAATAGATTCATTTGAAATGGATATTTTTAATTTCAAACTTTCCGGATGAAATATTAAAATGTTTCAACCCTAAAATCACTCAATGCTATAGGTTGGCTAGAATAAGCCCTTCAATAAACAGTAAATAGTTATGACAAGGTGATTCAACATTAGTAGTAATATATAGGTGCGATTAAGTCCACTGCACATAAAGAAGAAAGCAGCTGATTGCCGCTTTTTATACAAACAATACATTATACCTGGTAACATTGTTCTGGATACATATGTTTGTTTCACTGTGTAACATACAAGTTGAAACAATGTGCCATTTGGTGAAATAGTGTTGAAACAATGTGCCACAATTTATGTTAATAGTCTTGACTGCCTGTTTCATGCAAGATACTATATACAATTTAAATTTTTCTAAAAACTCTTACCAGTCACAAATGAAGAGGATTTCGTCCTTCAATATGCTCCTCAATTATATCACAAAGGTCATATTTCACTGTAACATACTTGTTATTCTCTTTATCTTTCTTCCAATGAAAGACATTAAAGTCCACTAGACTGTCATAAGGATAAATTGCAGTAACATCCTCTGTACTCTCCGAAACGTGATAAGCTTGATGTTTTTCATGGAAAGATAACGTCTTAAGCAACTCTACATCAAAGTATGTAAAGTCCAGAATTGACCATATGCACACAATGACTCCAAAAACAGGCAATGCAGGGTCTCCAGCAACATCAATAGCAATAATACCAGACTTTGCAAACTTTGTTCCAAAAAGCTTGATCCAACTTACTTTGTAAACATCCACAATTTCAATTGAGGGTAGAAGGCCATGACATTTAAAACTTCCGCTTTCACAGAATCTACCACTTGCTTTACCAGTGTGCGTGTACTGTCCATTATTGATTCCATTGCAACCTGAACATATTGATTGTATTATCATATTATATGTAGCATTTCAGGTACATAGTTTTTCTAAAACCACACAATTTGACTCTTTAAGGAGAGATTGTTTCATGCTATGTACTTTACACAGTTCAGCTTTAATTTTAAGCTTCAATTTTAATTTAACTTCAAATTTCACTCAAAATTATACCAAACAACAGGTGATTTCAGAGAAATAAAAAAACATTATCAGGTGGATAGCACTATCTAGTTTTCATTGGCCATTGATGTTTAGCAATTTACCATTTGTTTATGCAAATAGGGATGTGGGTTGGGTACACTATTCTGTACCAAGGTTTCATCAATAAATTTTATACACACCTGAGGTATTTTATTCCTTTCTTTCACCTTTAAGAGGAATGAGGCAGCACTCTTTGTAATATCAATATTGTCAACATTCTAAAACCACATAAATTATTTTACACTTAAATAACTAAACTACTTGGTTTGTGCACATAATATCACAGTTATGTTAATATCACAGTAATATTACAGTTATGTTTTGTGATACCATGTATTTAGATAATTCACTTGACAGCACAGATGAATACTGCTATCATTTTATTTATATCACCGCCTATATTCAACATGCCATCATTTAAGTAAACTGCCAGCATTTCATACATGCTAAATAGCAAATGTTTCATATATGGTAACTAGAGCACTTAAATATGGTTTTTTGAAAAGTCAAAGCACTTGTTATGATAGAGTATTGTAATCACAGTTTGTTCGTAATGACAACACTCTCCTTTGCGGCTGAACAATATAGGTACCTGGTTCTTATCTATATTCATTTCCAATTCCAATTCTTCATCACTACTGCTCTCATCTGAGGCTGAGTCGACTGAGAAGTGGTGATCAATATCGTCCATATCATCGATATTATCCTCATTGTTGTGGTTAAATTCAACGTTGGTATTATCCTCGATATTATTATCGTAGACTTCTTTATGAGATCTTGTAATGTGCTTGTATAACGAATTATATTTCGTAAATGTTGCTGGACAATTCTCGATGCCACACACTACTTGAAAATTGGGCTCATTTCCATGAACCTTATTATAATGATTAAGCAACGTTCGTAGTGAAATTGCTTGAAAACAATTGCACAATCTACACTCCCAACGCCTTTCATTTATAGGACGGTGTTTTCATTTTAAAAGCATATTCTGAACGGATAATTCCTCACTATAAAATTGTAAAATCACAGAGAACTTCAAAAATATAAAATTCTCCCTGCAAAGCATTTTGGGACTAGAGTTCGCTGGTCAGGCGGTGCGGCGGCGCACTTCTCATGTTACTAGCGCGCTCGACAAAGGTGAAGGTGTCCAACGTTTGTTATCGCAAGAAAATACGAAAATGTCGAAAGATTTACTCGAAAAAATCGCCGAGATTGATCAAGACGTCGCAGATAGTTTAATAGGTAAGTATATGTTCTTATTTTATGTCATAATAATTAAGAATTGTCGTCGCATACATATGTTTGAATTCGGGAACGCGATGCAAATTTAAATTTGCCGCGGTAACGAATATAAATTAATACCGTCAATCCTTCAGTTTTTTTCACCTTACTTGCTTCGTACTATTACGAATTGACAGGTAAAGTATATTATCTGCGATCGAGTGTATAAACTAAGGTATTATAAATGAAAATGGAACAATGCTGAGACTTTTTGATTAAGCTATATTTTTTAATTTATAAAAGCACTTCATTTTTTAATATTCGGGGGTCCCCTGTCATGTTTGGAGGGGCGGGATTTTTTGAATATAAAAATAGAGAATAGTTTGGAACAATTATATATAGAATACCAGGCTAACCTGCCTCTACACAGTTAATGTCATATAGTCATATAGATACATGTACCTTGTGTTATGTTACTTAATCCATTAATTGGACTTTAAAAGAACAAGAATAAACAATATTTTTATACAGTTCTATATTCTAAAATGTACACTCTAACAGATCTTTAACATAATGCACTATTGGCCTGATATTTTTTAATTGTACCCATATGGAATACATCAATGCAGGTTTCATTCATATTATATTTTCTAACCTGTATATTATTTTCAGTGGTTGGCCTCACAAATGATGATCTTAAGGAACTGTGTTATGATGCATTAAAGGAAATTTCCAGGCGATGGCATGAAATTGATTTTACTGCGGTCACGCATCTGGAAAGTAATATCTCAGGTATAAAATAATGTTTCTTAGTACAATCTTTTAAAATGATCAAGTATTTAGTTTCAAGTGAGAGTCGACAGAGAATATTATTTTAGACTAAACTATATAATTATTTAATATACTTTGCATTATTAGGAAACTGAGAAGGCAACACCAACTGATAACTCTAATCCAACAACAAAGGCTTTGGTTGAAAAGAGAAATATTGATATGGTAGTCTGTGTGGATGATCATGTTGACTTGTCAGGGGATGATACTTTATCATCATCATCATCATCATCAACAGATGATAAGGGCCTTACAGAAGCTGGAAAGGGTAAGTATAGAAATTTAAAAATCTGTCATTCTGCATTTCTTATATATGTAACATATCTGAAAAGTTGTGCCGTGTCTGCTGAATGCATTGTTCATTTCCTATTGCGCATAATGACAAAAATAAAAATGTTGATTGTTATAGTTGCCAAAGTTGTTCATCTTATGAAGAACGTGCACTTGTTGTTTGGAAGTGGAAAGCTGAATAAATCTGCCAAGAAGCTCATTGACCTTATTTATTTGATTAAGGTAATTGTTACTTTGATAAAGAAGTAAGATAACTAATTATTGTCATACTACACAGCCACTCAGCCAGTGCTTATGATGAAAATGTTTCATGCAAAATTGTGTTTTTCAATGTAGGATCATGAGGATCCAGAAGCAGTGTGCAGCCGGCGACAGGGTAAGAGTATGCCTTTGCTGTGTCTTGATAAAACATCAGCCTACCTGATATGCCAAGGTACGCTAATCTTTACTGTGGCATTGAAGAGTCTCATGAGAGCAGTCCTTGCATTAATTGGACTGTTTTATGTTATTGATGTGGATTATCCAAAATCCCATGAGCTAGGTCTCACGATGCTCCACAATTTATTTATAAACTTGGTCGCAAGCGACAGGCAACCCCACAGAGTACTTACTCCAATTATGGTATGTTTTAATTTGTTATTTAAAGACATGAACACCCCTGCAGACCTATATAACTCATTTGAGTCTGCAAACAGGACTATCTAGAGTTCAAACAGAACTCATCTGATGATTTTTAAATGTTGATAATATAGAAATAGAGGGCTTAAGCTTCGCATTTGAAGACATCTAGGCTGAGTTGATTTTTACTTAAAATTTGGACGGCATTCCTTCGCATCCTATTTTCATTCCGGCCTCAAAGGAATCATTATACAATTCACTTCGAACAGATCACGATTCCCATCATTGCCTCATATTTCCCCCTGTCGTTTGCCATTTCTAACGGAATGCTTAAGCCCTCTGGCCTTTTTAGTTATGATTTGAATAGTACAATGTAGAATTGAGTGCCTGAGGCCGGTTGTACGACGAAGGCGGATAGCGCTATCCACCGGATAGTGTTTTTTTCATTCGCTCTAAAATTGCTCGTTGTTTGGCATAATCTAGATTAAAGCTTAGTAATCTTAAGTTAGGGGACCTCTTTTTGTCGGCTCCAAATATTTTATTTCATTGCCTTTTAGGCATGTTTAAAAGGGTTGAAAAAAACCACTATCCGGTGGATAGCTCTATCCGCCTTTCGTACAACTGCCCCCTGGACCCTATAGTTTAAATGAAACTTGCATGCATGTACTTTGGGTAATTTACTTTCTGGCCTTTCGTATTAGTGTAGTATTGTTTTTGTTTTCTGGGGCTTTTAGCATACCGAATGTATTAATAAATTTTAAATAGAACTACAATAACCTTGAATTAAAAAAGTGTTGTTTTCTGTATCAGCGCACCTGCCCCCAAGAAAACCGTTCTTAAATTGAGAATATAATCTTAACCTTTATACTTATTTTAAGAATATGTATTTCTCATTGTTCTTAATTTAGGAAATATGTTCTTGTAACAAGTAAAAATGTTCTTGCATTCTAGGGTTATTCTCGCAAGAACAAATGTTCTTGTATCAAGAAAATATTCTTGTATCAAGAACAAATATTCTTGCCAAGAATATTATTCTTGAAACAAGAATATTTTTCTATGCAAGAATAATATTCTTACTATACGGACAAGAATGTATTTGCTTGCTTTGAGCAAAATTTTGCTCAAAGCAAGCATTTTTTTTCTTGATTCAAGAATGACAAATTTTGCTGTGTGGAGTCTAGCATAGCATTGAAGTAAGCTTTCTTTTTAGCATAGTGCTCATCAAAACCACTGTTTATAAGGCTTTCTTTCATTTCCTCGAATACTGTGTTAATTTTATGTTATGCTTCTTCTATTAACGGCATCCAGGGATCCAATTCTTCTTCACATTCTGAGTCCGTTGTCGTCGAACTTCCAGATTGCTGAGTGGAAGTGGTCGAGACATCATCTTGGAAATCACTTTCTTGACTGTCCGAGTCTGTTTGAGACATGTTTCTTTCTTGTTCTCGTAGTAGGCAATACTCCCGTTCGGGTCTGCGCTGATTGTAACTGCGGCTGAAATATCTTCTGCAAAATTGGCAGCTCATCCCCTTAGCACTAGAAGTGTGTAAATGCCTTGTTATCGAGCAGCAACGCAGTTTTATGAGCAGATGTCTGCTCATGTGTAGTTATGAGGATGTGCTAATCTGCTCAACGGTACTTTTTCCTAGTCCAGTACATTCACACAAACTAAAATGTTAGCAATCCCTTATGTACTTTTTTCGTTTCCCCCTAGATAGAGGTTGTTCGTTTGCAGTGCTTAGGTAAACATTAAAGTTTCTCTCCATCTCTTCTTGATAATAAATTTCTCTCCATCGCGCTCTAATAAATTTTCCAGACACTCCTCCATATCGAATTCCTTTGGTTCTTTACTCTGTCGAGGTACACATATTCCTTTCTTACTCCACTTTAACCATCTCTTGCGTTCCTCTGTGCCCATATCGTGTACTTGGTCGAGATGATTTGCTAACCTTGCTAAATTTGTACTACCACAGCTAAACACAGGACAGCTCCTACGAGTGCGACGCATATTTAGATGATTGCTCAACAAATTCCTAATAATAATTGGCTAATTTTTTTCAAGTCAAGTATTTAATTAGGCCCGTTTGGGCCCTATATGGCCTTATATGGCACTATTAGGCCCGATGGCCCAATTGCTGCATGAGTAGGCGTCCTAACCCGGGCAAGTCCGGGCTTTTCAATGCAAACTCTTGCTTACGGAAGAAAAAGTCAAACGATCTAAACAAGAAAACAGTGTAGTGCCCGGACATTATGTTTAAAATATTTGTAAAATTGTTCTACTTAATTACATTGTTACAAGCGTTAATACGTGTCTTAATTTATGCTTCAAGCATCGCGTTGTCCATAACTCCAATATATATTTCGATTCGCTCTAAAAATGCACACATTTTCGCATTCGCAATACCCCCCTTTTTCCTCCCTTTGAGGAGTTTGGGCCTGAAATATCTCATTGAGCGGATGAGCATCTGCTCATGAGCATTTATGAGCATGTGCTCATAGGCCCGTTTGGGACTTATATGGCCTTATATGACCCTATTAGGCACGATGGCCCGATTGCTGACTGCATGGGCATCTTAACACCCGAATATGGACAAATATTCGATTAAACATTGGGGAATAAATGTTCCCTTAGAACATTCCTCTGCAACACTGCAAATCTATACGTCGTATACGTACACATCTTTTTATTATATGTATACGAATATAACGCCCATACGATATGTGACCTTCCACGGGAAAACGTACGTTAACGATATTTCGTTGAAACGGCAAAACGAACGGATAACGAACGGGTAGTGAACGATCTGTAATAACGTTTCAACGAACCCAGAAAACGTTTTGACGAATTCAGCTAAAAATGTGAACGTTTAAAGTCGAGAATACGAACGGATAAATAAACGTTCAATCTGAAGCCGTTTGAACGATTTATGTTTATGAACGGTTTTAACGAATTTGTCTGAACGCCTGTTGCGCGTATAATTGACGCAAGATATTATTGACTAATTTATCTAATTAAAAGAATAGGAAATATTTTCAAACAAGTAACATGTGTTGTTCCAAGTATGTGTGTACATAAATAGCTATACCTTCATTTGAATGTTTAACTAAAATTATTAGCTATACTACCTAAATCCCATTATTTTATACTTTATATACATATATACATTGGCGTTTTGCATCAAAATTCGGGTTAATCGTTAGAAAGCCTTCAGTTATTAGTATATATTATCATCGTTATGTCAAATTAATGCATCATCTGCAACTATACCCATCAAAATATTCAGCGCGTGTTCATTTGCAACATCGTTACAGGTTTTGTAAATTTTTCCACGAACAAACTCTATGTATGAGTGGTTAAAGACATATAAACAAAGACATACAGGCGATACAGCATGCATCCGTTTTATTAACACGGCTGTAAACCGACAGTAAACAAAAATTGCCGTCTCAGTTTGGTTGAGTTTCAGCTACTGGATACATACTTTATGTTAAACTAAACACAAGAGATTCCATTGTACACTTTTGTTTATACTCTTTGACGCGCAAACGATTAAATTAATTAGCGCAAGGATCAAGTTGTTTACCGATGATAACCAAACATTAATACAGAATATCGCATACGCAAAGTTCGTTTGTATGCGAACCAGCGTAGTAACGTGTGCTTGCATGCTGTCAAAACTTTTTGGTATAAATACTACATTAAATATCCACACCATTTATACACATGAAATCCACATTTCAATTTCAGCAATGCATTGCGGTAATAAAATATTTAAAATATAGGCTTGGATATTTACCTAGTGCACACAATATGTTCCGTGCAGCAACACCAGTAGCCTAGCTTTAGCCGCGGTCAAGCTTGTCGCGGAATGTCGCCTATACACAGTACTGTCAGTAGCAAGTCACTAGCAACTAAGGGCATCATTACCTTAAGAATATTTTAAAATTTGACAATAATCTATTTTGTCGATTGCATGCACCATCGCTATATTTTCTTTGCAAAGCTAAAGCTGCAATGTCGCTATTTCTGCCGCCATATTAGTTACATATTTTGTGACCATACGATCACATATGCATGTGTTATGATTTTTAACCAGTATAACAAGTTGCTAATTAATACTTGTGATCTAACTAAATTATTGGTGGTCACTATATTCATTCCCCCCATATATTCGACCATCTACATAGTTAACTGTGTAAAAATGCCTAAGCTAACTGCATGAGCCTAACAATAGTGACCTAAAGAAATAGAACGCATAAATTAGTGGGATAATTTTCGAAATCTTCATTTCAAACGACCGCGGCAATCCGCAATCCTAAAGGTCCGAAAATCCGCCCTGCAAAGCAACTTAATACTCAACCCCGGCAGCAAGACAAAAGTGCACATTATTTTTACTAAAGCATATAGCAATAGCACACGGCCCATAAAGAAACCGAGTTTTTAAATCACAAAGAGTGCAAATAATTTTTTTCTGCAAAGCTTATAGCAATGCTGCCGCCCATATAGAAACGACAATGCCAAATGCATGCACAGGGGAGTTTATACTCACCATTTTAAGAAACACCCGATCCTTAACATCTTCGAGACATCTACTTGTGACACAATTTGTGCCGCCTGCTTACAATAAAATTAACTAATCAAGATTTCCCCAGACAGATGATTAAGGCATGCATCAAAGCATCAATCCATTTTGTCTTGCGAAAACTTTTTATATCATATAATTAGGTATATATTTCAAGGTAGCATCTACCCACATATTTTTTGACAAATGTCAGAAAAGTTTGCAAACAATTGTTGTTTCAATGTGAGTAAATGCATCCTATTAAATTGTAACCACCAAGCTAACAACTACTCTAACCTCAGCCAAGCCATTTTAAAGGTCTGGCAACCTTTCATGTCATGTTTATTCGGAATGATTGGATGATCGTGGCCCAACTCGATTCCACCGGCCATGGCAAGTAATCTAAAAGTTATATTGCAGTGCGCATTTATATCCGACTCTATTTTACTCGCGTTAGCATATATACATAAAATGCAATTGAGAACGTCTTGTTATATACAATTGCATGATCATCTATATGAAATC